CGATACGATGCACTTATCCAATGCAGCAATTAATATCAGAGCCCCTATATCATATTATAACATTACAAATATATGGCTTTAAGATATTATGTTTCACTTGTGACACATTCATTTGCTACACCTTTTCATATAGCTTGTATGCTTTACATTTCTGTTATTATTTAATAATATAATTTATGATATAAAAGAATTGTGAAGAGCAGGGCGCTTTGCTTTCTTTTTAGGTTAGGGGCGTTGGGAGAATGTACGCAATTCGAAAAATATATAGAGATAAATCTCTATAAATAAATACTGTACTGTACTTACCAAACTTTGTATATCCAGGTCCTGTAGTATCCGAGGCATTTCTAGTCGTAGTTGCCGACAAACAGATACCCAGCATTTAGTGCCAAACTTATTTTTCTCGTAGGCATACACAGTTTGCAGCAACTGTGCATCTTCTGTCTTACATAGTCGGAAATGCATTCCTGTATACGTTGTAATCCGATCCGTAAATCAGTGCATAAAAAGGTGTGTATATACGAAAGCGCAAGATGTTTTTTTCCTAAACGAATATTTGATATGTGTATATGCACTTACCTTATCTCCGAAATATGACTATAAACTTGTTTTAAAATGGTTATGGATTGATAAGATATATGTATATAAATAATATAATTAATAATATCAAGTCTTTAGTCGGCTGGGTTTGCAGATGTCACCCTCTGCCTCAATTCTCTCTACAGGGTATTCAAATACTGACACGCCCACGGCTAGCCGCGTTTATCAAAACTGTTTTATATTTGTCTGGTACATTTTTTTTGGCACTTATGCGCGTTTTCTTGTTGCCGGCTTGAGCGGGATTTTAACTGGGAAGCTAGTTTAGCCGTCGGCAGCTCGTGATTCCAATACCTCAACATTTATTACGAATGCGGAAGTAATTAGTTAATTAATAATCAAGAGAAAAAATGTAAATATATGGCAAGACGAAGCTTAAATACCCTTCTGCGGCTGGGAAGTGCTATTGTGCGAAAGCTTGGGATGCACCGATTTGGGGTTAAATGTGTATATGCATATGCTCGATTCAATGCCGCTATGATTATATATACATATATATGTATATCCTATATGCTTTCGGAGACTTCTTGTTCTGTGCGACAAACTTGCAATACCCTCGACAAAAGGAGGTGAAGTAGGCCCGTGTGCAGCAAGTATTGCATCAAAGCTGGCAACTTCGGCGGCCCCCATTAACCCGCCGGCAATTGGTTCTATTACATATTCGTTTAGAACAACGCAAATGAAGCTTATCAGCAATCAGTTGTCTAAAGCAGCAGCAGCAGCAGCAACAGCAGCAACAGCAGCAGCGATGGCAGAGATCCCAGACTCGAGTCCAAGTTCAAGCTCAAACAGTGGGCTGGCAGTCGCAAGATGAGATCGGCGGCGCTTGCACTGTTCTATGTGAGCTTGTGGGTGAGCTCGGGTTCTCTGGTGCTGGGCAAGCGCTATATGCGCTGCGAGCTGGCACGGAAGCTGCTGGAGCAGCACGGCTTTGAGCGCAGCCTGCTTTCGAGTTGTGAGTAGCGGGGCGGGGAAGAGTTGCGAGTGGATGGACTCTTAACATTGGGCTCTTATACACACAGGGATATGCCTGCTGGAGCATGAGAGCGATCTGGACACCGCCAAGGTGACAACCAATCCAAATGGATCCCGCAGCTATGGCTTGTTTCAGATCAACGGTCGCTACTGCCAGGAGGCGAGACGCGGCGGCGTTTGCAATGTCAAGTGTGAAGGTGAGTTAAAAAACCTCGCTTTCTTGCTACTCCCGCTTGATCAACTAATGTTTGTTTAAATTCAAGAGCTGCTCGACGAGAATCTGCGCGAGGGAGCCGCCTGCGCGAAGCGCATTCAAGCTGCCGAGGGCTTTCGCCATTGGAACGGCTGGCAGCGCTATTGTCGCAACCTTCAGAACCTGCCCAATCTGAAGGTCATATGCGGCATATAACTTATTTTACTGCTCTAAGAATCTCTTAAATACATATACATAAATATATGAAGATACAGTGCCGAACAAAAAAATCAGTACAGTGGACTGTCTCATATGTATATCTATTTTTAAATTATCGTATAAAAATGTGATCAATCGTGTTGGTAATTCAATATGGAATGACAATAAGTCCCTTTATGTAAATCCTTTTTTTTTCTCCGTGCCTCGGATAGAGCATTATTTCAAAAAATAATTAAATAAAATAAAATATAATATGAATAGTTTATAAAGTTTTGGCATAATCACAGTTAAGGCGGCTGTCCGACTTTTGTGTCTACTACTGTAGATAGTTATGTGCTTCGAGGCTTTATCAAGTATATATACATACATATGTAAATATATTCATACACAATCACACAGCCGAAGCTTTTTGGGCACCTTTTCAAGTGAGTCTCGCCGCGATTCTCACACGTACATGCATACTCTCTCTTTCTCTATCTCTCACGCGTTCTCCGGTTTGTCCGCTCTCTCTCTCTCTCTCTCTCTTTGCACACGCTTCGACGCCGTCAGCTTATGGGGCTTTTGGGCCTCAGTCCGCTTCAGGGGGATTTCATTAAGTGACGCCAGCTGTACCGAGGCAAACGTTTGTGGAACGTTGTCCGCCCGCCACATTTCAATTTTGATTGTTGTTGTTATATTTTAAATACGATGTGATGAAATGGAAAACAGAGCAGAAACTAGTGCGCAGTGGTTGCATAATATGCCTACACATATGTATACATTATATATATATGTACATATATGACATACATGTATTTGCAAGTACTTTATAATATGCACAGCATATACTCGTACTATTCGAATAGATGCAATGATCTATTCAATGTGTGTTTCCTAGTGCCTGAACCTGAACCTAACCCCCGAACCCAACCCATGCGTCTGTGACTTCAGCAACCGGTTACTGAAAGCAACTCAAATGAGCTGTTCATGCATATGTATGAGTGTGTATATATGTACATATTATATATGAGTAGCAATCGAACTTTTGCGCAGTCTCGAAAGATTGTGCTTGTGTCTTGTCATTCAGTCAGTTAGCTACCGTGTGCCAAAGCTGATGTACATACAATTAAGTGGACCCCAAAAGAAAAAAAATCTTGTAGTATTACAAGAAATTGTGCTATTAATTAAACCATGCAAAATCTTAATTTAAATTCGTAGAGCATGTCCTCCCACTTACTGTGTTTAATTGAAATATGACTAAATTGTCAGAATATAAATATATATATATATATATATATATCAAAAACACTTGAGTGATCTACTTGATCGAAATGTGAAGTTAGTTTATGAAAATATATATGAATGCAATGTACCCCTGTACCATGTACCAAAAGTACCATACGTGGCCCCTTTAAGACCAAAGAATAAAAAAGGAACAGAACTTTTTCTTTTTTTTTTTTTAATAATTCAATTGTGTATACACTTTGTATGTGTGTCTGTTGAAAGGAGCCCAATATAACCTCAAAATGTAGCATAATTTAACAATGATAAATTTGCTAATAATTGTTTATAAAATATAATAAATATATGCCCAAAGTAACTAGTAGAGGTATTAAGTTGCATTGTGCAACTGTTGGGAACACAAAAATAAACCGTGCAAATTTAACTTAGATGATTGAAGTCTTCAAATTATTCTTCTTCTCAAATACATATATGAAGTTTTAGTGTTCGATAATTATATGCCTAGAGTCAAAGCCAAATATTAAGTACTACTTGTGCGTACAGTGTGACCATAATTGAATATGATGGAAGTCTTCAATTTCTATATAGCCTCAATATAATCTCATCTTTCAAGCTTATGCTGTGTTTTTTTTTTATATTTTCTTTTAATCTAAAAGTGAAGCTCTAGTGTGAAGTATAAAGTTGTATTGAGCTACTGTTGGGAACAAAAATAAAAATAAAAAGTGTGACCCCATTCTTAAATGATTGAAGGCTTCAATTTCTATATAACCTCAACGTTTGGATACTTTGGAGCTTATGCAGTTTTTTTTAGTTTTTTTGTTATTGTGAAAATGAAAATTAAACAACTAAAGGAAATAAAAGCCCAAATACACAGTTAAAATTCTGTCAAATAAAGTAATGAGTGGAACGTTACCTCGACTTTAATTCCAGATGAATGTGAATGAAGAAGGATATAATCCCAAATTGACTTTTGCATGAATAGCCTCATATACAAGGTATATGTTGAGCTGTGGAGCATTATGTTGATTAGCCGATTATATATGCACATGAATATGAACCAGTTCAACTGTTTGCACATGACTATGAACCAGTTCGACTAATGCATGAACAGCTTTACATTCTGAGCTGTGGAGCATTATGTTGATCGGGTCATTTCAGATGAATTATGCATGCTATGTAAAGTGGTGCAAAGCCTTGATCCACTTGAATTCTATTTACTCTTCTTCAGTAAGGAATATTCTAGATTTAAGAAACGTTCGAAGGCAATTTCATCAGAATAGAAATAAATTTCCCATTGCTGATTCATTATATTGCGTGCCGGCGTGGCACCGCTCCAGTCTAGTTGAATATATTTCACCATGTTGTGAAATTGAAAACAAAACAAATCAAAAGGTGCCTATGTGTGTATATACAATGTAGGGTACATATATACAAATGAGCAGATGTGTGTGTATGTGTGTACATATAAGTATTATGCGTGTGTGTGGAGCGGGCTATTTTTATCGGCTGCAGCTCTCAGGTTTTTGCTGCGACGCATTAACTGGCTCCCCACTGCTCCAATGTCAGTCAAGCGTGCCCGCTCTCGTGCTCTCTCGCTCTCGCACACTCTCTGTCTATATTTATGTTTATCTTTTTATCTCCCTCTCTCGCTCTCTCTCACTCTCTCTCACTCTCTCTCTCTCTCTCGCTGGCGTTGCGTCGCTGCCAGCGTTAAACGTTTACAAACGTTGAACGGCGCGTATAAAAGTTGCCGGCCGGCAAGCGTCCATCATCAGTTAGAAGCTTGAAGCTTTGTGGAGCAGCCAAAGAGAGAGAGAGAGAGTGAGACGCAGCAAGAGAAAGGGCATAAAATACAATAACGAATCGCAGAAAAAATAACAATTGAATATTGTTTATAAAGTTGAACACAATTCGAAAGGATAAAGACAAAAGAAAATTGTAAACAATGGCAGAGTTAGCTAAGCGCAATGAGACGCTGCTGGACGAGCCGACTGAGGTCGTAGATTGCGACATTGACTTCGAGGATGTGGCAGAGCAGCCACAATCCTCGCAAGCGCCAGTGCAGAAGAGCGGCAAGCTAATCAAGAAGGCGATCAAGAAGGCGTATAAGGCGCAGCGCATGCTGCAGCAGGCCATGGATCAGCTGGCCGCCGAGCGGGCCAAGGACCAAAGGGCTCAGGTCAAGGAGGCCAAGAAGCTGAAGAAGCAGCAGAAGAAGCAGAACAAGAAGGCCAAGAAGCAGCAAAAGGAGCAGCAGGCTCAGCAGTCAAACCTGAACATGGAGCAGAATGAGCAGCCACGTCCGCGCTCTAACAGCGTCAGCTCAACGTCCAGCTCCTCGAGCTCATCCAGCGGCTCGTCCAGCTCGTCGAGTAGCTCGAGCTCCGGTTCGGAGCACAACTTTGGCCGTCATCCCTGCCATGGCTGGGGCCGCAAGTGGGCTGGACGCCATGGTCATCATCATGGCCGCAGAGATCGTTCCAGATCTCGTTCGCACAGCCGCTCCGATGAACGCTGGCGCCGGCATGGACATCATGGACATAGGCACGGCCTTGGTCCCCATTACTTCGGACCGCATCACTTCGGGCCGCATCACTTCGGGCCGCATCACTATGGACCGCATCATTTTATGGCGCGTGGCGGCTTCGGTGGCTGCCCCTGGCCAGTGTGGGAACATCAGCAGTTTTTTCGGAACGGCGGCCTGCCGTGGGCCCTGGAGACGAGCACGGTATGGCCGAGAAACCGATCGAGATCTAGGCCGCGTTCACTTTCCCGGCGCAGAGGTGGTAGACATCACAGCATTGGACACAAGCGATCCGGACACGGACACGGACATGGCCACAAGGGTCGTCACCATGAGCGTCGAGTGAATCGCTCTAGCTCCAGTTCGAGCTCCAGCTCTAGCTCTAGCTCCAGTTCCAGCTCTGGCTCCAGCTCTGGCTCCAGCTCTGGCAGTGACAAGGAATGGGGTCCTCGACGTGGACATGGTCACCATCGAGGCCCCCCTCATTGGCCACACCACGGTCCGCATCATGGTCCCCATCACGGACCACATCATGGTCCGCATCACGGTCCGCATCACGGCCCACATCGTGGTCCGCATCCTGGCCCGCATCATGGCCCACATCATGGGCCGCCTCATGGACGGCATCATTGGCCACACCATGGCCCTCATTTTGGCCCACCTGGACCGCCAGGTTTTGGCCCACCGCCATGCGGTCGCCCCAGCCGCTCACGCTCGCGCTCCCCTTGCAAGGATGGCAAATCAGCTGAGCGTCCGGTGAGTCCCACTCGCGATACTTCGAAATCTGGACATCACAAGCACGAGAAACACGGCAAGCACGAGAAACACGGCAAGCATGAGAAACACGGCAAGCACGGCAAGCAAGGCAAGCACGGCAAGCATGGCAAACATGGTGGGGGCAAGGACAAGCACGGACCGAATCGGGAAGGTATCCTATTTGACGAATTCGGTCCTTGGAATAGATTTGATTGAAATAAGAACGCCTTTAATTGTGCATCGAAAACAATTTCTATTTACATTTCGCATATATCAACATATTATCTTCAATCTATACCAAAAAAAAAAACAAAACAGAACAAAAAAAATACAAAAGGAAAAGGAAAAATAACAAAAACGAACAAAAAAATATTTACAAAAAAAAAAATTAAGCAAAAAAAGTATTACATAAAGTTTAAATAAATTCCAACCAAGTAAAATTGCATGTAAACTTATATCAAAATAAATATATATATTGTAAAGCCAAAGCAAATAATTGAGTTTTTATTCGGGGTGTATTGGGAATGTTATCGGGAATGAAACACATGCCACTTTAAATTGCCAGCAATTCGCGACTAATCGGGTAATCAGCTCGCATTATTGCTAAGCCAGCGTATTTAGGGCTTGAATCGATATAATAATATTTATTTATGCTCAATTCACGCTGTTTAAACTCTAAATAATTCACTTGTGCGCAACAATAGTTAGTAAAAGCGAAATAAATATTTAAAATTAAGCTTGCTAATCAATATTAAAACCAAACTCATGTTATTTCAGTCATATTAGACTACAAGCTGCCCTCATATTGTGTATAGGGTTACAGCTTGGAAGCTGCTTAGAAGCTTCTTTAGCGGTTTAATGTGTTTTTAAGCAAGGCAGAAAACCTGTTCTTATCCGAACCGGTTCGAGCTCGGAACTTCAATGAGCCTATTCCACGAAATTAAGACCAAAATACGTATTCCTTACAAATAAAAAAATTGTTTTCTTTAAGAGTACACGAGAGAAAGGAAGTTAGTAACATATTCTAAACTCGCGCTATTTTAACTTACCGAACCGGTTCAAGCCAAGAACTTCACATTGTTTTTTGCCAGGAAACGAACCTTGACCCAAACCAGTTGCTCGTTAAGCGGCCGAACCGAAATGAAATGTTTTTTAACCCTACACGAAAGAAAGGGTGTTGGTGAAAAAAACTCAACACTTGCGCTGATTCAATTCCTGTTGGCTAGTGTAATCAAACGCGCGTAATTAATACGTCTATTGTTATAGTACAAAATAATAATGGCAAAAAATAAAACAAACTCAATTACGCGTCGTTTCATGCTGCAATTTGAATGTTTCGAGACCGCAAAGTTGATAAATGACAATAAAAACTAATTTTGCTGTTCGAAATGCTAAAAATTAAATACCCGATTCGATATATATACTATATTATTACATATTAAAAAATAAAACTGAGCAGATTTGGGCCGATCTAGAGTCTCTTTCCGCCGAAACGTCTAAGAAACGAGATAAGATAGAAAAGAAGAATAAATAAAACAAGTAAGAGGTTCTAGTCGGGAGCTCCCGACTAGGGGATACCCTGATACCCTCTTCTTCCAACAGGCGATAAGTATAAAATGAAAGATACTTGATATATATATACTATTCTAGAAGCTACATGTCAAGTTTGGTCATTTTGGCTCTTATTATTTACCAAAATTGCTCAAAAAACAGAATTTCTATAGCGCTTTTTATCGATTACCTGGAAACGAGGAAAGTTATCGAATATCGGAAACAAACTCGATCTGCGCGGGTACTAGGACGGACGGACGGACAGACGAACGGACGGACATGGCTAGATCGACTTGGCTGTTGATGCTGATCAAGAATATATATACTTTATGGGGTCGGAGATGCTTCCTTCTGCCTGTTACATACATTTGCACAAATACATTATACCCCTTTTACCCATTTTCAATGGGTTCAGGGTATAAAATGAAAATACTCGCTTAAATCAAACGAAATGCGTGTTAATTTATTATTGGTGCAAGCGACTTTTTATAAACATGAACACATATGCATTGACCATACTTTAGTTCGTTTCAATTGCGAAAACAACAAGAAATTGCAGCGTAATTTGTTTATACTTATTAATTATAACGTGACGTGCCGCATTGAAATCCAGATAACATTCCGGGAGTGGCAAACAAAGTGAATTACTTAGCTGGCTTATGGGCTTCCTATCAGAACTACGAAAGACATAAGATTGCCTGGAGAGGTTTTCCCCATATACCATGATACATGCGAAAAAAAACACGTTCGATAAGGCGATCGATAAGTCGATGCCAAATTCTGACTAACTTCATAGGTGGTTCCACCGAAATAGAATTTCCTTGTCCAACCTCGCGCTACGTGTTTCCAAAATTGTGCTGCCTAATCTAATTTATTTAGATGACAGGGTTTTCTAATAATACCATAAAGCGCTAAGGGGGCCGGTAAAAGGCTGCTAGACTCCAGAGGGGCATGCTTGGGCAGAGCACACGGCACTGTTCCCAATGGGGAAATGTGTTCTCAACTGCTGTGTGGTCGACATAAGAATGCACCTAACTGAACCACAGCTTATTTAGCTACAGATATTGTAATAGTTGAGACTTTTCAAGCAAATATATCAATATATAGGTAATTCAAATAAACAAACAACTCACAAACCTAAAATACGATCATGAAATAAGTTAATTCAACTCAATTTTATAGCATGGAAATAAATGGATATTTAAGTAAAACAATTAATTGAATATTTGTCGGCATTTACCTAAAGCGCAAAACCTTTGCTCATGGCTGTGCCAGTAGGCACAGATATTTCGGAGTAGAGTACTTGCCTTGTGCCAGTTAAGAGCGTGTCTAAGAGAGACAATACTGGGTACAGTTTGCCGGCTGTGGGAACAGCCTTACCCCTTATCAATTCGAATGGGTACAGTTGCTGTGCTCGTGGCTTGCATTCTAGCTGTGTGTTACGGCCAAAAGGCGGCTGCCTTGTGGCCCAAGTGAGGTTTAATTGTAATACACACGCGCACAACCACACACACACACACTCACACACACCTACACACACACATGCGAATTTACATTGCATGAGATATATGAAAACATAGCTGCAATTCTCGGATTTCACATTTTAATTGGAGGTGATGTGTGTACATAGACATCCCACGCAAGGGTCGACTGATGGACAGAAATTGTTATAAAGGGCAGCGGGGTGGATGGGGTTGTTGTTTGCGGGGGGAGGGGGGGGTCGACTAGGAACGCGACTGGGCCCAGGCTCAACGGTCTTTGGCTAAGCGCTAAAAGCTCATTGCGCTCGACGTTGTTTTATTTAATTTAATTTTATTTTTGTTTCATCAACAGGTGCGTGTGTGTGTGTGTGTACACGCGCACAACACACACGCACACACACACACGCGCACAACACACACGCACACACACACACACACACTCACACACACGCATTAAACCACTATATGCGGGAGCATTGAAAATTTCAAAGTGAAACTTTATTCAATTCTGTGACAATGTGACAGGAGCAGGATCCACCATCACGTCCTGTTGCCTTTTTCAGTTATTTTTGTTGTGTTTGTTTTTGTTTTTGTTTTTTCTTTCTGGCATTTGAGCAGTTGGCTTTTGTGCATTTGGGGTCCTTCATTGTCAGCGGCAGGCATCAACTTTGCCCAAACCTGTATAAAATCTGCCAATCTGTGATTTATTTTAAGCGCCATTTTTTCCAATTTACTTAAAACAAAAAAACACAAAATAAAAAAAAAAAACAACAGCAAAACAATAACACGAGGAACAGCGAATGCGGCGAGGACATAAAATGAGCAGGAAGTGGATTTTTGAGCGGAAATAATTTTGCCACATGTTGGCAAATAAACACAGGCAAGGTGAAGGCAGGCCTTATGGAAAGGCGCTGGGCAGGCGTTACGCTCCCAGACAATCAAGCAAGCAGCCAGAGCCCGCCCAGGCAGTCTGGCAGCTGTTGGGAGGCAGCGGGCGGTGGCTCAAATCCATCCGCTTTTATCGCCAACAGCTTAAAATTCAATATAAGTGCACAATTCTGTTCTCGCCCCATTTGTGCTGGTGTGCGTACGCACTTATGTATATCCGTACATATATGTGTGTATATATAAATATATGTATATCTATTTTTTTTTCTTTCGTTTTAATAATTTTGTGGCAGCCAAGCCGAGTTTTCCCTGTCTTTTGCCCTTTGGTAAGTGCGTGTGCGTGAAATGTAATTTTGCGGCAGGCGAAGCTAATGCATAAGCTGCCCGCCCAGCAGACCCTGCCAACCCTGCCACTGCCCCCGCCCTGCCCTTGTGGTGTGTCTGTGTGCCGCACGAAGAAGCTGTCGCAAGCTATGCAACAACAACTGGCATCCATATGCCCATTGATTGATGATGAGCCAGAACTGAGGCAGAGCGAAATCTACGAGTTTTAAACGATTGACATCAGCTTAGTTTTAGGTGTCCAAACGACCAGCAGGACGACTTGCTGCTACAGGAACTTGGCCTGCCGGAGCTAGGGCAGAGCAGTCTGAGACGTTGCCATGAACAGGATATACCAATCAGCTTGCTCTCATTTAAATTTCACGCACACTTAAATATACTTAATATAGTTAAATTGCTGCGACTGTCTGTAGAATATTCAATTAATATGCAACGTTAAAAGTTTTCATTTCAGCCAAAAAGTATGCAACATTTCTAGGTTGTAGCGCGTAATAAAAACATTTCGCGATTGCTGTTAGAATAATTAACTTTATAATTATGCAACTGCATGTGTGTGTAGCTCTGCAAAGCACAATAGAAACAGGAACAACAATCGGCAACGGCAAGCGGCAGGACGAAGCAAGCCTCAGACCTCAGAGCTTGGCAATTGGGCAAAAGTTTCGTGCAATGGCACGCAAATATTACACAATAGATATTGCGCTAGCTGGCAGTGCGAGGCGAGACTGTCACGTGGAGTGGTGTGGGGAGGGGGGGGGGGCTTTAAAGGGCATGCTACGTGTGATAAATGCCATGGCAAGAGCAGCTACAACAATGCACTGTCTGAATAAGCCTGGCCAACTGGCCAACCGGCCAACAACTTGCGAGCGCTTCCCGAACACTGCCCGCAGATCCCGTGGCGCATTTGGTATGCAACACTTGTCCGGCAACCTTAACAGTGTCAGCCAGCAAAAGCAAACACAAAACAAACCAATACACGACCACTGCAGCAACAATAACAGCAACAACAAGAGTCGCTGACTTCATACTGCGAGAGGGGCGAGTGCAGCAAAATAAAGTGCAGCTGCTGCGAAGGCAACGCTGCGTATGCGCAATGTGGGCGCACACAGTGCAAATCTTTGCGACCCACCTCCCCGACCAGACAGTTGCGAACGTGCGTTCGTGAGAACGTGCCTTTTGTATGTGGTCGGTGCGGGGGCGTGGGCGCGGGCGCGGGCGCGGGCATAGGCGTTGCTGTTGACACTGCAGTGTGTGTCCCATTGCTTCGTGCTGAATATTTGAAATGCAGCTTTACGCATGCTACGGTATCCTATTTTTCGTACAATTTTTCTGTCATTACACATACCCTGTAAAATGCTCAAAATAATTGGTAAGCGCTTAATAACACATCCAACAACCGTAGAAAAAATTAACAGTGAATTTTATCAATTTCCATTCCACTTATTTTCCACAAAGCTTTGTTTCGCAAAGCTTTGTAAAAAGGCTATTCAATATTTTACTTCTTGATAGAGTCCAGGGTGCTGCCAAGTCGAGCATTGTCAGCTATAGCTTTATAAACATTTTTTTCTTTCATTTTTTATTTGGCTCCAATCGGCAAAAAGGGGAAAACGCAATTTCCCATGTCGCATTGAAAATGCATTTAAAGTGCCAATAAATATTTGACTTAAATTGTCGCTGATTAAAATATCGCTAATTAATTTGTATTTTCCTTTAAGTCCAACCAGAACATGCGAAATTAACACCCATTTTAATTGAAAAATCATTTCACTCTTTAATTTACAATTTTTTGTTTGTATTAACTGCTTGAATTGCGCTTAAAGTTAATTTTAATGAAATATTTCAGCACTTTTTGAAAAGAGAAAATAATGTTAATAAATTAATTAACTAACTTTTGATTTGATTTAAGTTTTGTGCTCCTCTTTAACATGCCCCAAACGATATCTTATTATATTAAATTTCATAAATTGTGCTTGAAAGGCTCGCCCTGGGGTTCAATTCCTGGCGAGCTTAGTTTCCTTAAAGTTTTTACAACTTTGAAAAGAGGAATTCTGTATGTTTTTAAATATTTTCATGTATATTCAATTATTGAAATTAACTACTTATATTTTACTCTTTATTTAACGCCAAGTCGAAGGCCTTAATTTAATGCAATATCATTTGAAACATGCCAAAAAAAAACAAGTAAATGGCTCTAGTCGGAAGTTACCGACTAGGCGATACCCTGAACCTTCTTCTACCAGCACCAAATGCAGCTCATTTGCTGTTATACAAATAAATTCAAAAAGAAAAATATTCCCTTCATTGGATTCTAACCCGACTCGAACTGCCTGGACTTCCTGCAACCGCCTCTACACGACAGCCATACCAACAACTTCTTTCCAGCCAAAAAATCGATATAATTTAAGATACTTGATCTGGTAATACTTTTCTAGAAGCTAGAATTTGGACCTGCGCTCAAAATTGCAGTCTCTAGCTCTTTTAGGTTCTGAGATCGACGCGTTCATACATTCGGACAGACGGACGGACAGACAGACGGACATCGCTAAATCGATCCGGCTATTGATTCTAAAACAAAAATATATATAATTTATGGGCCTGTTATATATTATACTCTTCTCACTTATGTTCAATCGGTACCGGGTAGAAGTATGCATCGATTTAGTTTAAAAACTGGCTGAATTTTGTATCCAACTGATACACTTGAAAGTTTTTTTTGTTGCCAGTGTAAATATTAAAGCCGAACTTTGGTGTAGTGTGTATATGCATTAAATAACACCCTGTATTCAAATGCATAAGTATGCGACACTTTGTTGCATACAATAACAAACACAAAGCCAAAAGCGCAGAGCCGCTTGAGTTTATTGACTCAGGCTCATATTACGCAGCGCGGACCGCTAGTACCGCTAGCAGGCTGTTTAGCTGACGGCGCATATCCCACGCTTGTCTTATATACCAAGACTACCATATATGTACTCACTAATGCATGCACATACCACAAACTCTCTCTCTTTCAATTATGCTCTGCTGCGACAGAGCTTTACATATAATAATACCTATATCTTAGGTTTTGAAGCGGACAGAGTTCCGAATAAAGAACATTCAAAATATGACTATAAACCAGCACTGACGTGCAGCGTGAACTTTTATTTCTACATTGGGTTCCAACCCTTCAGAAGCCTTGATCTGAATAAAAAATGTCTCAATTACATTTTTTTATTATATTATAGGGTATATTGCCGTGGCTATTTTCACTTTGTCTGAAATTGTGTAACGCCCCAGGGAAACACATTTCTGACGTGCAGAAACAACTCCTGCTCAGTTTAATTCATTTACCACAGAGCTCTGAAATGGATCAACAGGAGAAAAGATTTTTGTTTTGGACAAATATTTTACTTTAATTTGGCAAGGATCAGGTGACTATGGCATATAAAGAAATGTGATATATCGTAACTTTGCTGGAGAATCTATTGCGCTGATTTTCATGCAAGGGTATCAGGAGTTCGGCGTGTCGTAAGTAGCCAGGCATTCATGTATTTTGTTTTGTCTACTCGCACAGATTGTGAGCAGAAATGAAATCAAAATCTTTGTGAAAACATTTCATGCAAATGAATAAATAAGCAAGTGCCAAAGAGGCTTTGACTGACAGCAGACGAGCGCAGAGGGAAGCAGGATGCAGGACGCAGGGCAAAGGACGAGGTAGGCAACAGTTACATATTTACATAAATATTACACGGCTATTACGATATGCCTGTAGCACGCCCAAAGGCAGTGCGTGCGTGTGTGGGTGTGTGCTACTTGTCACAGGCAAATATGTAGTTAAACATGTGTGTGTGTGTGTGTGTGTGTTGTGTGTGTGTTTGGTCTGTGTAAATAAATGTATGTTACTTTCTGTCATGCATTACAATAATATGAAAATTATTTGAAATGTAATTTCAACTTAATAAATTTTCATAAAAAAGGAGGCGTCTCCTCACAACCCAATTGACAAACACTCACACACACACACACACACACACACACACACACACAGATACGCATACACACAGAGAGATACCAGCATGGCTAAGTGTTTAAACAGCGCCGTAGAAAGCAGTCGAGACGCCTGCAAGGGCTGCCTCATTACGGAAGCCAGCGATGGCGAACGACGAAGGAAATGCTGAAAGGGAGACGGCGAGGAAGGCGCAGGACAATGAGGACGCCGGTGAAAATGGCGACGACAGGAAGTGAAGTTGTCGAAAGTAAATTTGCATAAACGTATGAAAAATTTTAATATTTACGACAAATTTGCAGCTGCGTTCCCCTTGCCTCTGCCCGCTTGCCTTTTATCCGCATATAACTTTTTATGCTGCACAGCTAAAAGCGTGTGCGATTGTCTCTGCGAGTGTGTGCGGGCGTGTGTGTGTGTGTGTGCGTGTGTGTGTGTGTGTGTACGCAGCAGGGTGGGCCAGAGCAAGGCTGGCAGAAGAGCTACTATTTAAGACAGACCTAAATGAAAGTGCGGCCTGCAGCTGTAGCTAAAAATGAGAAGGCAAAACTGAAACTGCGAATGGCAGTGGGTGTGGCAATAAACTGGGCATGGGCAATGGGTGTGGGCGTGGTCCTAGGCCAGCTGTCGAATGTAGACTAAATCAAGTTAGCACACTGAATGGCCAATGAGCAATGAAAACGTTCCCATGGCTATGCACTTTCACAAGTCATTTTTTTGCGTGTGTGAGTGTGAGTGTACATGTCAAATCTCTTTCTCCGCCAATTCGCCAACATTTTTATATCATCAATTTGGGCTAGCGCCAAACTTTGCCAACTACTCTCGTGTTATGTGGAAAATAAGGAAAAAGGCAAAGCATTCCACACACACACACACACACACACACACACACGCACACACACAACTTTGTGGCCAGTTGCCAGGATGAGCTTTTGTTGGTGCATTTGAATTTTGTTCTATGGGATTGGCTTATAATATGAATGCACTTAAATTAAATTCCATATTTTTATGTAGTTTTAAAACTTGAACCGTAATAAAATGTTCTCGACATGAAATACACAAAAGCCCCTCAGCATTAGCTAATTAAAACAAGTAAATGCCATGTGAGTAAAATCTAGTTATGTGTGCAGCATATTTCTAATATATTTATCTTAATTCATATCCAAATCTATATCTACATGTTATAGTCTGTGCACAACATTTAACAGTTAAATAGCGCAGACAGTTTAAAGTAAGGAGTGTGTGTGTGTGTGTGTGTTTGTGTGTGTGTTATACACATGCACGTATACATAATTTACATTTGCATATGCATAATTTATGCATATATTTAATGTAAATGTGCATTTGTGTAACCAAGATTCCTCTTAGGAACGGCACTCATATTTTTTCATTTTCAACCAGAGTTTTCTCTCGTTGGGAAATGCAATTCTTCACAGCTAATGGCAATGCGCACTAGGCCAGGGCATTTAACACACGTAAACAGAAGGCGGGGGGCATTCGCTTTGTTTATTATCACAGCACTGAATGGTCTTTCAGCTGGATCTGTGGCTATGGAATCGGTCTGGCCAATTGACGCATACACCTAAGCCCATTATCTTGTTGGCCATTAGCAATTAGCGCTGTCATTTAAATGATTTTTAAAATGCCAAATGCCTGGCTTCGTGTCGATATTCAATTGTCTTGCTACCCTGGACAATATCAAAAACGAGCATATTATTGTGCAAGCGTGGGATAGCTATATTTAGTTATATAGAGTGGCGGGAGTTGGTTCATTCGATATGCAGATCTAAAGCTTAGGGTATTATACTCTCTATAATATCTCTTTAGTATCTCTATACTCTCTCTAGAAATTTTGGAAATCGATCAGGCGAGGTAGATGTAATACTATCGATATAGGCCAGCTTTGACTGTCGAGAGACGGCACTGTTCCATTAATCGATAGTTTTAAAGAATCGATGCTATCGATAATGTTACTCTACCAACAAGGATAGTCTTCTATTGTGTCTGGCTATAAGGGAAAAGCTAATTTATGTAACAGTTTGTTCAAAAATTGCCTCAAAGGTATTTAAAAGTCGGCACTTAAAATTTGAAATTTCTTTGCGTTTTATTTGACGACTGTTTACTTAGTGTGCATTTAATTGGAGAAGCGCCGCACAAATGCCAATTTAATTGAAAGCACTTGTAAATACACTTACTCTTGCTCGTATTGGTTCCCACCGATTGTTGCAAACATATTTTGATTTAATTGAGGGATTCTTTATCTGTAATCGTTTTAATGTATGTTTTCAATGCCTTTTAATGGTGGTGGCAAACTAGCAAATGGCTCTCGGCTTGCTTAGGGCACATTAAATTGCCATTGGCCACGTGGCTAAGCCCCTAATTGCCCAAATGATATGTTGCAGCCTACGATATAATAAATGTATATTTCACTTTAAATTTATTATATATATCGATTTTCTAGGGGTATAATCAATTCGGGATGCTTATAAAGAATGTATGAGAAGTCTTGCAGAATCAGCAGCGACTTGTGTAAATTACAGTACTTAAAGCCGAACCTAAGACATGAAAGCTCGAGCAACTCTATCGATCACATTTCAATTGATAATTATCGAGAGATTAAGATCTTTAGATTATAATCCCTATGATACTCTCTTCTCTGCGAATTCAACAACAGTCGAAAAGGAATCTTCGTGTAGTAAACATAAATATTATGTTCATATTCCTTTACTATCCTATGATCTGCAATTGACTTGCCAAATTCGTTATTATTACAATTACCGTAGACTTTGCAGCAATTATTTTAAGCATTCTTGTCCTTTGTCCTTACAGTGTAATCGAATAATACAACAGTCTGGTGAAATGTCATTTCAACAGTTTCCATGAAGACCTGAATGGATAATCATATAAGTATTTCAACGCCACGCCGAAGCCTGATGATATTTTACGGAGCTTCATCATGCTTAAACGCCTTGTCAATTCGCCAAGTCGTGTGCTCAGCATGAAGCTGTGTTTACCTGCGGGGATTACATGCCACATTTTGTAGTATGTGCAACACGTGCATTAAGTGGATTCATGGGCAGACAGCTTGTTGATGAGGCCCTTTTCTTGTTTCTGCCTGTGCCTGATTGTAATTAAAACTGTTTAATTTGTTGTCAGCTCAGCCACACACTCCCACGCACAACCACACGCCCACACACACTCACATCTAGGAGAAATCAGTCAGTTACCGGACTTAACGCCTGCACGACTTCATTGTGACTTTCATAATGCTCATCGGAAAATGTAAACGATGCTTTGTCTTACGTCAAATGAAATTCCATATTCCGAGTAGGGTTCGTTCAATTAATTGTATTTCTTCCATGTTAAATATGATACCCTGCCGTTGATTGCAAAATGCAAGCGACTGTGGTCAACTATTTTTTAACCCTAGCGGGATATTAAGTTTAACATCACGGATTTTATTTTTTGATTATAAAACACTTAGTCTTATGATTTTAGCTGGGTCAGAAATTGAAACCTAAGAAGTTTTCAATTATTAGATAAAGCACACAATCGCACAGATAGAATGCACCTTCCGCCACGCCTACATATGATGGCACTGACGCAGTTAGGATTGCTTAACATTTGAGCTGCAAGTCAATTTCACGTGGCACTGTGTGCAACGACGGGAGCGACAGGAGTTATGCGAACATGCAAGGCTCTAATTACATTTACCCAAAAGCTGCCAAGTGCAGCGAGTGCAGCATAAGTTACCTTGACACGTGGCCCCTCGACAAAGCGGACAGATAGACCAGAATAGGGTGAAATATAATAGGTAGCTGGTCGGTGAAGAGCTCACTTCGCCAGGCACTTTAATTCACATTTTATGGTGCTGCTCAAACCTAAAGTGAATTGCAGTTCAGTTATAAAAGAGCCAAGCATTTGCACAATCATTGATCAAATGCATTAATGCTAATGGTGCTCAACGTTTTGTAAATCCTTCATCTACTCAAAATGTGTACGAGAATGGATAATGAAGTTGTACAAATGTTTGTATACGATTTCAGACCAAACTTTTCATATAGTTTCTCCTCAATCACTTGCAGATTAAGTTTATTTCAATATTTGTATAACTGAAACTCTCTTAAATTCGATCAACAATGAAAGAATTAAAATAAATTTTAGCATTATTGCGAGTCAATAAATTGGCGCTCGTACTATTACTTTTCCTCAAACTCCTTCTTTTTCTCTCCCTCTATCTTTTTATCTATCTATCTGTCCATCTATATAAGTCTCCCTCTCTCTTTCTTTCTCTATCTTACACGTAACCATTGAATTCTCTTTCCGACTCTCACTCTCTTCACCTCTCTCTCCTCTCTCTCTCTCTGACTTATCCCACTTTCTCATTCACTCTGCTCTTCGCATTCTCTTCGTTATTTTAAATATCGCTTTCCTATGCGATTCTCTTTATTACAAGGGAAGTTTACAAATGTATATGCTTTTAAACGTAGTCTATAAAAGTCATCGTCCAAATTTACTGACTGATTGAGTGACTGATTGGTGACTGATGGCCAACACACAGCCTTAACGGAAAGGGCTAGCAAGCTGAAAGCTTGATGGAAGTCTTCTTCCTCTCACAAAAACAAGCTTTCGAAAAGCATACAGGTATTCGGTGGTTCGTTTGCGGGGCAACCCAAATTTGATGTGCATATCTCTGTTTTCCTCTCTTGCTCGATTTCTCGGCTTTCAAACAACTGCGAACATCAGTTGCCTTACATCTCCATCTTTGCCTATATACATATATGCATATATATTTATTTACTCATGTATTTGTGAATCTTTAACCGATGAATTGAAAAGCCGCGACGGAGGCATTTAATTCAGAGCTGCCCTTTAAACTTTTAGCCAAATCAAACAAGCGAGTTCTTGATTAATTACTTTTCAAATAAACCAAGTCGAAGAACGCCTCGTCCGACCCTCATTCGAGCAAATCATACTGAATACTTTTTGTTAGGCATTTACTCGATGCCTGAAGGAGTCTAATCCATATTCTCGTATGGAGATGGGTGACATCTCGAATGGCATTTTAATTAACCAAAAGCGTTTTAATGGGTGCCTGTTTAATGACAGGACACAGGACATGGGACGGCTGGCAGGCAGACTGTACAGGACGAGGCAGGTTAGGAGTGAGCAAGTTTGAACATGTCATTTAAGTACATAATTTCATTTAAATCTTGACTAAGCCTGCTGCAATGCGAAGAGTCGAAACAAAGGACATTAAATTGTAATGAGGGAGCCGCAGAGTAATTTCCATTTTGCCAATGGCAAGGACAAGGTCATGCGCTTGCCAAGCCGCTTAAAACGTTAACTTATTATTTTTGTTGTTTTACTTCTTTTCGGGTTTTTATAAAGGCAACAACAGCCACAATAACAACAACAGCAGCAAAGAAGAGGCAGAGCAGTGGCAGCTAAGAGAAAATTGCTTTCAATTATGTGGCCCAAGTCTATGCCTGGCTCGTCCGTTAGACTAAACAAATGTTTGAAGTTATAATTGAGGCGACATACTTATTATGCTTGGAAAGACTGAGCTCTAGACTATATACATATGCATGTGTCAGTCTTCTGCGTGTCTAAATATACAAATTTATGAGAGCCTTGCTCCGATTATAATCAACTGCTAATTAAGTAGAGTCCAACGACTTACATCTTGCAATTGATCAATTGACAGCATTAATTTCCAGCTCAGTGATTAGCTCAAAGCCATCTAGAAATTGAAATTCCATTTGTGAGCATCTCCAACTGAACTACAGGTCGGCCCACATACTGATATTGTCATATGGCATGGCTAGGTCTGGTGGCCTGGTCTTGTTGGGTCTCGTCTAGCCTGCGGGCAAATCATTTCATTTTGATGGCTCCACAAGAAACAGATGGCAAACGGCAGGCGTCAGAAAACTGTGCCACGTGCTAATTGCCAACGTGAACGGGCTTTCAAAGCAAAATCCTTGCCAGTTGTCAGACAAGCGCTTACCTCGTCTGCTCAACAGGCGATTCGAAAAGCTGGCAATTACATTACGCATACGACACGTTGCCGAAC